AACGGCAGGCCGAGCAGGAAGGAGAGCTCTGGGATTGGGTGGGGAAGTGGGGCCAGGGGATAATAACGGGCACATACAAAAAAGTAATACTAGGTAAATTAAAAAGGCAACTGTTAACTTAAAGAGAAATGAAGAACCACGTAAGAAAGTAAGTGTAGTCATGTTACACTATTTGACCAGCAGGGACTATTTACACAGTTAAAATATTAAATCCCGGGGCGCCTGGTGGTAACAGTCAGTTAAGCGGTCCAACTCGCAATTTCAGCTCAGGTCATGATCTGAGGGTTATGAGATGGAGCCTCAGATGGGCTCCGCGCTGAGCGTGGAACCTGCTTAAGATTCTCTCTTTCCCTCTGCCGGCGGCCGCCCCCCCCACCCCCATTAAAAAAAAAAGTAAAATATAAATCTTGACTCTCAAATGAATCAAAAGTTGTCATTACTAATGACATGCAAGTAAAGAACTGGGGACTCCACCATGGTTAACAAATAATGTCTAAAGTTGCAAAACCAAGAACTAGCTATGAATAAATTATTTACGAATATGGAAGTAAATAACTAGGGGAAACAGTGGAGCCGAGGGCTGAAGGGAACTACTTTATGCCTTTAGTACTATCAACTTTTGAAACTTTCTTTTGTTAAAAACATTTGAGAAAACACGGTCTTAATACAAGAGTGGATTATAAATGATGTGGTTTTGGAATACAAGTGAGGTTCAGCGGGGTGAGGGCCGGAGCCGCCAGCCAAGAAAGAATTCTTGAGACGTCATTGGTGCAAAAAGGTGGTTTTATTAAGGCCCAGGGACAGGGCCTGAGGACAGAAAGAGCTGCACTGGGGTAATCTATAGGGTTGGGGGAGGTAAGGAAAAAGGGAGGTTTTCAAAGAACTTTCATATGCTAAAGAGGACCTACAGGATACCAAAGGCCTTGCCACTGTCAAGTTAAGCTTGTTTTCCCCTCTAGCAAGGTATTAACATTAAGATCATTGGGAGCTTCCTGAAAGAATGTCACACTTATCCCACCCAGGAGTTGGGGGGGGGCGGGGAGGATGCAGGGTGTCAGCTTATGCTTTATCTTCAGCTAGCCTTCTGCTCCTTCATCATAAAGAAAAGAGGGGGTCAGCACTGGATATTGTATATAATTACTAAATCACCAAATCCTAAACCTGAAGCTAATATTACACTGCATCTTTACTAACTGGAATTTAAATAAAAACTTGGAAGAAAAAAATAAATAAATGTTATTTAATTGGAAAAAAAAGAAAAGAGGGGGTCAAAAGATACTAGTTAAGAAACCAATGCAAGCCAAATATGAGGACAGTGGTGGTGATCACAGACGTAGAGAACGTATTTCAGATTTCTTAAAAGACATAAAACTGAAGTCACTTCCAGATAGAGCTGGTATTTGTAAGGGAAGAGGGATGGGACAAAAGGAAAGGACAAAACCAAAGATGACACCCACATCCTTGGCTGCTGGTAACATCTGAGACAGGAAGGGGGCAGGGGGGAAAACAGGTCACAGAAATCAAGAGTTCTGTTTTAGGTATATTAAGTTTGAGATGCTCTTTAGATCTCCAAGTGGGGCTATCAAGAAAAAATGGTTGATTCATGAGCCTGGAGTGCAGGAGAAAAGTTGAGAGCCAGAGATGTCAATTTGAGTCATTAGTTACAGTTAATATTTAAATCCCTATGGCTGGGGCGCCTGGGTGGCTCAGTTGGTTAAGCGACTGCCTTCGGCTCAGGTCATGATCCTGGAGTCCCGGGATGGAGTCCCGCATCGGGCTCCCTGCTCAGCAGGGAGTCTGCTTCTCCCTCTGACCCTCCCCCCTCTCATGTGCTCTCTCTCTCTCTCATTCTCTCTGTCTCAAATAAATAAATAAAATCTTTAAAAAAAAAAAAAAAGGAAAAAAAAAAAAATAAATCCCTATGGCTGGATAAGATACCATGCAGAGAGAACAGAAGGAAAGGGAATAGAAATATACATTTGTACTATAATATGTCATAGAAATACAGAACATAACTGTATCTCATGGAGTAAGGACAAGTACTAGTCCATAAAATTTTTATTTCAGAGACAGAAAGAGGACAGATAGATGTATAAATAAACTGATGTATGTAATTTATATACTTTGAATGTACTGGGAATAATGTAAAATGTATTTCCTATCAAAGACTGTGATCCAAAAACATTTAATAGGAAACTCTAGTGGGGGGTGCCTGGGTGGCTCAGTCGGTTAAGGGTCTGACTCTTGGTTTTGACTCAGGTCATCATCTCAGGGTCATGGGATCCAGCCTCATGTCGGGCTCCATGCTCAGTGGAGTCTGCTTCTCTCCCTCTCCATCTGCCCCTCCCCTCACACTTTCTCCCTCTCTCCCTCTGTCTCAAATAAGTAAATAATTTTTTTTTTAAGATTTTATTTATTTATTCATGAGAGACAGAGAGAGAGAGAGAAAGAGAAGCCCAGGGAGAAGCAGGCTTCCCGCTGAGCAGGGAGCCCGATGCAGGACTCGATCCCAGGACCCTGGGATCATGACCTGAGCTGAAGGCAGACGCTTAACCATCTGAGCCACCCAGGTGCCCCGTAAATAAAATTTTTTTAAATAAATAAATAAATTCTAAGGGATGAGAAGCCAGGAAAAGATAAACAATTAGGCACTATGGTAGGAAGGACACTGAAAATACAGTGTACAAAAGCTAAGAGAAATACTTCATAAGAGGAATGCTTACCTGTATAGAATGAGTATGAGAGGTTAAATACAATTAAGACTAAGTGACCATGGACTTGGAAATATGGAGGCCATTTGTTACTGACCTTGACAAGGGCCACTTCAGTGAATGGTTAAAGCAGAAAACACTGTAGCATGGATGAGAGGCAAGAAAGTACACACAACCAATACACACAAGAGAAAGAAAATCTCCCGAAGAACCTGAAATTTCAAAGTCGGCATTCACTGTGTTAAAGAGCCAGTCAGTTCTACAATAAAGCAGGTGATGAGTTTCTCAGGGCAGACTCATGTCACAGGTTTCTAATCTCCAATTTGACTGTATTTGGATAGGTCCTTTAAGAGTTAATTAAGGTTGTAAGAATTCATAAGGGTGAGGCCCTAATCCAGTATGACTGGCACTCTTTTTAGAAAAGATTAGGGCACGGGCACACATAGAGGAAGACCAGATGAGGACCCAGGGAGAGGACAGCCATCTTCAAGGCCAGGAGAGGGACTTCAGAAGAAATCAACCTTGCTGACACCTTGCTCTTAGACTTCTAGCCTCCAGAACTGTGGAGACATACATTTCTGTTGTTGAATGTCTGTGGTATTTTGTTACAGCATCCTTGCAAACTAATACAATCCCCGAGATTCTCCAGTCTCAAGTCTAGCTGGATCCTTCCCTTCTCTCCCCAAGCCTCAGGCCCACCCTACTCAAAACATGAAACTATTCCATCATTAGCTCTCCCAACAAAACAGTGCTTGAATTACTTTCTTCATAAAGCTATTAGTTCTGGACCATTCCAGTCAAAATAAGATGTTCTTTTACTTACCATACCTCACCTCTCATGCCAAAATATTTTCTGAAACCAAAGGCAAGACATTTTTAGAAAAAACGAGTAAAATCAAAGTTAACTAGCTATTGGGAGATGAGAGAACAAGTAAGATGTAAGTAGCAATGGGGAATTTTGATGCCCCAAAGGCAAGTCTGGCAAATATTCTATGCAAGGTTTTGTAGGGTCTACGTGCCACACACATCCCCACCTCCAAGCAGCTCGCATCTTGGGATTAGAAAGAAAGCATATGCTTTCCTCCTTCCTCGCACGCAAACAAATCACACAGATCTGGTTTTCCTTACTTCCAGAATCTAATGTATCTACAATTAGCCCCAAATCCTGCCATCACAAGCAGGAAATGGAGAAAGGCTTTTCAATTGTTTTGTTACCAGAAAAGAAAGGCTGTTAACTCTGGTTCCTTCCTATGGCAAGAAAATTAAAAATATACATACAAGTATGTAAATACAAATACATACAATAAAATACAAATGTAAATACAAATACATACATTTGCAAAAGTGCACACCATCTTCTCCAAACACAGCTGATACTGAGCAGTAAGTACATTAACCATGAAATGAATAAGACCTATAGCATTTATTTTTATTTCTGACAAATTACTGCATCGACCTGAACCATCCTTCAACAGATTGGAATTATGAAAAATGAAACTCACTGACACCTGGTTCTCAATACTTCCCACATTTTCACAATCGCTCAGCCACTTTGCTAAGGGACCTGTGGTTATCAGTTACTGTATATAAAGAGATCAAGAAGATCTCAAATTGGGCTACTATTACCCTGAGAAGAAAGTTTTACATCCTCCCATCCCGAGAAAGAAAAAACATCACAGCAAACAAAACAGCACCATTATTACAAAACTGAAAGTTAGGTTACCTGACCCTGGAAGTTTAATATAGCCGGTGTTTTTTAAGTTCTGCCTAGCCTCAACATTTCTGTCTGGAATTCAGTTTAAGCCTGAACTCGAAGTAAACAATTTCCTGAGTGCTTCATACCCAACTCTGTCCCTACTCCTGATTAAATGAAGGTAGGGAAACCTCTCGTTATCATTAGGGTCAGAACCTCTGAAAAAGGAAAAGGAGTAACCAATCACTTCACCTTCGAATACAGGCCAAGGTTAAAAATCTGGGCAGAGAGTGCTTAAGAATGGCAATCAAGAGCAGACGGTGCGCGTGAAGCAGTATCTGGTTTACCCCTGAGTCAGGATGCCCAGCCCTGGATCCTGCTCCTTCCTTCTCCAGGATGCCGGCGGGCCTCTCCTGGGGCAGGGGCACGTCTCCCCTGACTCGGTCCTTAGAGCTAGGTGGACAGCAGATGATTTTAAGACACTTGTCCATCCACAACATTAAAAAAAAAAACCACAGACAAAACAAGTGAGCACCCCGAGTCGCGCCGGCGTGTACTCCCGTGTGGAACTGCCCCGCGGCGGATGCCCCACTCACCGCACACCATCAGCAGCAGCACGATCAGCAGCGTGGCCACGAACACCAGCAGGGTCAGCCCGACGTTGTGCCACATCTTGGGGGGAGGACGGCGGTCGGCGCCTGGCTGCGGAGCGGCGGGCGCGGGCGGGCCGGTGGCGCGTGCTGCGCTTCAGCGGCGGGCGCCGGGGCGACAGGAGCGGCGGGCGCCCCTCGGCAGCGCCCCCCGGGGGCGGAGCGGGGCGGTGCGGGGGCGTGCACCGCGGCCGGCCCGCCCGGCGGACCCTCCTTTGCTCCCCGGCCCGCGGAGCGCGCGGCAAGGCGCGACGCAGGGCGCCCCTACCCCCTCATCGCTCCGGGGAGCCGGGGACGCGGCGCCCTGAGACCCCGGCGACAGCCGGATGTGCTTCCATGGCGGACGCCGCGCGCCCGTGGACAGGAGAGAGGACGAGCACAGGGACGCGCGGCGGCCACACGGCCCTCGTCGCCGTCCGCCCGGGGGGATGGGGGTGGGATGTCCGGGGGAGGGTCCCTCGGCCCGCAGGGACAGCGGCTAACGTCTCCCGGCAGCGACCACAGCAGCTTCTCGACCCTAGTCCCCTCCCCCAGCAGAAACTCAGCACCGAGCACGCCCACCGCTCTCCGCCTCCGCGGCGCGGGTCCGGCTGGGAGATGGAGTGCAGAGCCCAGGGAAGGCCTTTGAAGGCTGCCCTGCAGGGACTACAATTCCCACAATGCACCGCTAACTTGGTCGCTTGGCTTCGCCCTCCCTCTGCTTTTGGTGTTTCTGGAGCCACAACCTCTGTCTACCGACCGCGGGTTGGTATTTTCTGAACCCGCGTAGTTGGCTGCCTGTGCTGCATTGTGCGAAAGCGCCAGAGTGATGGCAACCATTATCCCACACATGAAATCGTTTTGTTCCACGATCGACGAAGCACGAAGAGGGAAGAAAGGGAAGGCAGCTGCCTGGAAAACTGGTTGCATGTGAACCTAGCCCTATTGCTGGGGGTACACGTTAGGTACTTGGGATTTTGAGGAAATGCTCGCGTCCGTGCCAAACAGGCGAGCCAGAGGCACGAAATCTCCCTTTTCCTCCTGTAACAGATGTTGGTCTGTGTTTTCGTGAGTAATGTATTTAAGAAATGGTCCGCGAAGGACTTAAGTACATCTGCTTAGCCCTTAATTCACCCGACTTGTGAATTTAATTCAGGGACTTCTTGAAACCAAGCGACACATGACCCAAAGCTGAAGATTTTGCCGCACTGGCTTGAACAAATCACTGTGAAACAAGACAATTTTAATAATCTCAAGTACTCTATCTCTACCTGCAATCAAAACTCTTCAATTCTGTCAGATTCGATTCATTCGTTAAAGATGTGCCCCCAGAAGAGAGGATAAATGTGTATGTAGCCGACTTTTAGAAGGTACCAGAAATAGCCTTCCTGTTCTCCTGTGACTCTGTTGCGCCCTGCAATACCTTTCTCTTCTTCTACAAATTCCTTTCCTCTGTTCTCTGTCTCCAAAAACAAGCCAACAAAATCTGAGCAGAAATCTCTTGATTTAACAAATATATCTTGGCCGTAACCCAGCTGCCCCACCGTCAGTTTTATTCCCTAAGCACAGTGTTATAAGCAAATACTGCATATGAAAATACATTAAGGGATAATGACTTTGCAGAAGATTTAATACAGGGCTCCTACTAAGAGAATGAATCCAGTGCAGTTATGATTTGTTGATCAAAAAAAATCAATCAAAAATCAAAGAAATTATTTTGCATAAATAAAACACATTTTATTAAAGCCCAATTGAATAGTTGAAAATAACACAAGAACTGGACGAATTTATTTTAAAGCTTTTTATCTTCCCTTCCATTCCCATGTATTGAATATATAATAGATGGCAGACACTATTGTAAAAGCTGGGGATACAGCAGTGAATGAGACAAAGGTGTTTATGCTCAAGGTGCTTATATCGGAAGATACGATAAGCATAAATAGGGAAATCTCCAACCGCTAATTCCTATAATGAAAACAAGCAGGAGAGCATGATAAAGATAGGGGTGTTATTTTAGATTGGGGGGGGATCAGAGAAGGCCTATCTGACTAAGTGACAATCTGAGACCTGAAGGATACAGCCATGGAAATACCTAAAGAAAGAGTGTCCCAGGGAACAGGAGCAGCTAGAACAAAAGGCACAAGGAGCAAACAAACAGCCATTCCTCTATGCCTTGGTAGAATTTCTCAACATTTCGAATCACTAGGGAGATTTAAAAATTACAAATGGCCAGGCAAAATGACTCAGAATCTCTAGAAGTAATCCCAAGCACAGTACTTTTTAAAAGCTCCCAAGCTTTTAAAAAAGCTAAAGCAGTGGTTCTCGTTGAATGGTCTCTGGACCAGCAGCATTAGGATCACCTGGGAACTTGTTGGAAATGCAAGTTCTCAGGACCTACCCCAGACCTACTGAATCCAAAACTGGGGTAATCTCGGAAAAAAAGAAAAGAAAAGGTATATTGGATTCGGGTAGTAATCAATGGAGTAGTGACAAATGGAAAGATATAGGATATGTTCTGGAAGGAGAATCATATCAGGATTAGCTGATAGACTAGATGTGAAAACAGGTGAGGAAAAGAAATCAAAAATGACTCCCAGGTTTGTAGCCTGAGCTTCTAGGTGAAGGCTGTGCCCTATCTTGAAACAGGGAAGATGATGCAACCATCTCCCTAGAATGCTTTATGAACTTCTCTCTTTACAAACGATCTTTAGCTGTCCAGGTGAAGGATACAGTGACTGTGGTGAAGTCCCACAACCAAGAACCAAAGTCTTTTAGCTCTCAAAAGTCCAAGGGCTTTTCCACTAAACCGTGCTGCCTTATGTCTCATCATTTGCTGTATTAGCACAGATCATGTTTCCAAGGATAAATTCTGTAAGGATTTTCAAGGATAAGGTTTTGAAGTTACTCTTGAGCTATGGTAATTTCTGGAGTCTACTTACTGTTCTCATCCCTGTATAAAATGCTCTACCCCCCTCCTTTCTGACCTCAAGCCTACTTATCTTTCAATGTCTGTCCAATTTCCTCCTCAGTAAGACCTCCTGATTTCTTCTTCACTGGTCTGTCCAGCTCCTCTAAGCCAATGGTTCTCAGTCTTACCTGTACATGGGAAGCTTTAAAAGCAGATTCTCAGGTTTCATGCTAGGCATATGAAAGGTGGGCAGGGGGATATAGAGGGTCTGTAACTGTTTAATACCCTCTCGGTTTTGATGAACAGTCAGCATTGAGAAGCACTAGTGCAAACTATATTTATAAATTAATTAGGCACCTATCTTATAATATTCCTTGAATTGTTTTATGTTGTTATTTAGTATTTCATGCATATATATATATTTTTAAAGATTTTATTTATTTGAGAGAGAGAGCACATGAGAGGGGGGGAGGGTCAGAGGGAGAAGCAGACTCCCTGCTGAGCAGGGAGCCCAATGCAGGACTTGATCCCAGGACTCCAGGATCATGACCTGAGCCGAAGGCAGTCGCTTAACCAGCTGAGCCACCCAGGCGCCCCTATTATTTAATATTTCATATGTATATTTCATATATATATTTCATATACACACACACACACATACATATTTTGATTCTTAGAGGAGAACACTTACTCCTCCCCTGCTCTTTCGTTCCATAAGGGAGGAAACTCAATTGGTAATAATATGTCTAGTCTCTCTGTGCTCCTTTATTCCCTCTGTCCTTGGTCTGGGGAGGAGTGACTTACCTAATTAGTGCATTTAGGAAAAATAAAGTGGGTTTGCTGAGCTTGTCTCCTCCCACATTCCTCTTGGGTGTGAGCTGCCTTAAGCCTCTTGTCTGTGTAGGCTTTCAGCGTAGGGAGGTCCCCCCTAGTTCAGCATTGCCTCAACTTAGGGTTTAATTAGTAGGCCTGACTGGCTCTCACATTATTATATGTTCTCTGATCTAGTCTTTATTATTAATAAAGGTGACATTTGGCCTCCATGTCTTACTCTTTTCTTTAATTTCTCAATTTGGCAACATGATTCATGGTTCCCTTTTAGCAATTCCAGACTGCTTTTAAGATAATTAAGGGAAGAGTCATGCATTCAGCATTTATGTAGTAACACATAGTAGGTGCTAGTCAGATATTGAGGGTTCCAAATACTTTATCTCTAAAGCCTGGCAATAGGCCTGGATTTTACTCATTTGATCTCTAAGTGTTGTGGGAAGAACTATGCTAAATGTGGGTTGGATACAAAGTAACTAAGATAAGATTCCTTGAGGAAAACCCCGTCCTAAGGTAAGTGTTTAGCAAATACTCCATTGTACTAGGCACTGTGCTAGCCAGGAGCAATACAAAATAGATCAAATATGCTCCCTTATATAAAAGAACTCAAACTGGCTCAGCCTTTTTCAACACTGACCTTTTGAGCTTCAAGAAATCAACTGAATCATGATCAGTACCTTAAAAAATAGAATAAAATAGAATAGAAGATACCACTGTGTATTACAAGTACTAAGGGCAAGCACTACTCATGAAACTTGTTTTAGTTATCTATGTATATGGGTGTGTGTGTGTGAATTGAATTACAATGCAAAATATATTTACTGTAGGTCATAGTTTTGGGGTTTTTTTTTTAATTTTTTTTTATTCTTATGTTAATCCCCATACATTACATCATTAGTTTTAGACGAAGTGTTCCATGATTCATTGTTTGTGCATAACACCCAGTGCTCCATGCAGAATGTGCCCTCCTCAATACCCACCACCAGGCTAACCCATGCTCCCACCCCCCTCCCCTCTAGAACCCCCAGTTTGTTTTTCAGAGTCCATCGTCTCTCATGGTTCGTCTACCCCTCCGATTTCCCCCGCTTCATTCTTCCCCTCCCGCTACCTTCTTCTTCTTCTTTTTTTTTTCTTAACATATATTGCATTATTTGTTTCAGAGGTACAGATCTGAGATTCAACAGTCTTGCACAATTCACAGTGCTTACCAGAGCACATACCCTCCCCAGTGTCTATCACCCAGTCACCCCATCCCTCCCACCCCACCCCCCACTCCAACAACACTCAGTTTGTTTCCTGCAATTAAGAATTCCTCATATCAGTGAGATCATATGATACATGTCTTTCTCTGTTTGACTTATTTCACTCAACATAAAACCCTCCAGTTCCATCCACATCGTTGCAAATGGCAAGATCTCATTCCTTTTGATAGCTGCGTAATATTCCATTGTATATATATACCACCTCTTCTTTATCCATTCATCTGTCGATGGACATTTTGGCTCTTTCCACACTTTGGCTATTGTGGATATTGCTGCTGTAAACATCGGGGTGCACGTACCCTTTCGGAACCCTACTTTTGTAACTTTGGGGTAAATACCCAGTAGTGCAATTCCTGGATCATATGGTAGCTCTATTTTCAACTTTTTGAGGAACCTCCATACAGTTTTCCAGAGTGGCTGCACCAGCTTGCATTCCCACCAACAGTGTAGGAGGGTTCCCCTTTCTCCGCATCCCCGCCAACATCTGTCGTTTCCTGATTTGTTAATTTTAGCCATTCTGACTGGTGGGAGGTGGTATCTCATTGAGGTTTTGATTTGG